TTTCTTAAAGAAACAAGAGTTAAAACCATCAATACTTGGAGCCTTTGAGTCTTCAATCCCCTTAAGGGCCATATCAATTTCATCAATAGTAATAGGGGCAATAAGGGCACTTTGAGCTTCCCTAGATAACTGCTTCCCTTTCCTCATTATACCGAGATCAATACAAGGGAGGGAAACAGCTTTGGAGCCAAGGAGCTGTTTATAAACTTGCCTGTAAACTTTTGCCCCCAGTCTAGCTTTATATATAAATACATTTCCATCTTTGTCTGTTTTCAATTTGAAAATCCATTTGCAACCGATAGGTGTGTAACCTTCGGGAAAATTAACCAAGTCCCAGAATTGATTTTCAAACATGGAGTCCGTCTCGGATTTCATGGCCTCTTGCCATTTTGTAGAGTCAGGGCTCGTCATAGCTTGTTTGTATATCGCTAGCTCATCTCCATCCATAACTAGGATGTCTTGATCTTTGGTTTAGACAATACCAAGGTATCTGTCTGATTGAGATCTTAGACGTTGCGATCTACGCAGGGTAATAAGTTGAGCATTTTCATTGACGGTTCGAATTTGCACATTGTCGGTTTGATTCTGACCAATGTCAACATCTGCTTCTAAAGCACTTTGATTGTCAGTTTTGTCATGTTGACTTTGTTGCTCTTCCTCTCGAACTTCGTCGAGTTCGATTTTCTTCCCCCTTGTCATTTTGGAAAGGTGTTCCTTCTCAAAAAAGACACCATCACGAGCAACAAACACTTTGTTCTCGGATTTGTTTGTAGAAGTAATACCCCTTGGTTTCTTATGGGTAGCCCACAAAGAAACCCTTATCTGATTTTGGGTAAAGTTTTTCATAAATTAATCTCTTGACATATGCTTTGCAACCCCAAATCACAACAAGAAAACAGCTAAATTCCGACAGAACTTCCAACGTAATGGGTTCAGTCGGAGATGGATTTGAATTTAAACGGATGTCCGTCGCAATTTTCCGACGAAATATTTTCCGTTGAAAATGCCTCACTTCCGACGGAATTTTCCAACAAATATTTCCGTCGGAAGTGGGGGCATTACGACGAACAATTCCGTCAGAATAAGTGAAGGTTTCAAGGAAAAATTCCGTCAGAAAATAAGTGTTTACGACGGATTTTTCCGTCGGAATTAGCCCTGTTCATTTAACAAATTAAACGATTTAATTTGGATTTCGTCACCTATATATCCTGCACCTAATTTAAGATAAATTTGAATTTACAATTTAATTACGAAAATATTTTTATATATTCATTTATAATAATAAATACATTGTGTGAAACTATACAACATAATCTAAATCTAAATACATGTACATACTATATACACAAATTCTAAGCTACAGCCAGAGTACCTTGCCCTGCACCGCCGCTACCCGGGTTGTTCGTGGGGTCTAGACGCTGATGTGGAATGTTGGAACATGGGTCATTGCTGGAGAATCAACGCATCATCTCTTCATACCTCTCTTGGTTTCTCCTTTCTGTTTCGACCAATCGAGTCTTTATCTCGACTTCCATTTCACTCCGCATAGCTTGCACCTTCTCCTCCAACCTCTGCTCCACCCTCTGGTCCATCTGATCCTGCATCTAGAAAAGAAAGGAAGGAGTGTACTGCTGGGAAGACTTGGAACCCTTCCTATTGCCATAATACAGCTCTGCACCTTGGCCAAGTCCCTTCACACGACCCTTCTTGTTGCGACCACCTACAGTTTCCCAGTACAGCTCATTTGGACTCATCCAAATCCCTTAGGTGCTTGCTTCTTCAACTTTCTTCTGGTAGGCCTCCTACAATATACACATATGAAAAGGTGCACACAGATGTAAGTTAAAATCAGCTTTCTGAACAAAATACAACCAATTCAGGCCTATACTACCTATTCTTTGCCCATTATCTACATTTCTTACCAAATGAACCATTTCTTTCTCATATCATGGCTATTATAGGTAATTTTAGGTTTACAAGCCTTAAAATCACAAAAAAAAAATAACTCCCTAAGTTTTGGGAACGAATTAGACCCAAATAGAACCAACTAAGGCCTATATGACCTATTCTTTGCCTATTTTCTATATTTCTTACCAAATGAACCATTTCTTTGTCATAAAATTTCTATTATAGGTATTTTTAGATGTACATGCCTTGAAATCACAAAAAAACCAACTCCCTAAGTTTTGGGAACGAATTAGACCCAAATTCAACCAAATGATTATACGACCTATTCTTTGCCTATTTCCTATATTTCTTACCAAATGAACCATTTATTTGTCATAATATATCTATTAAAGGTAGTTTTAGATGTAAATGCCTTGAAATCACAAAAAAATCCAACTCCCTTAGTTTTTCGAACGAACTGGTCCCAAATTCAACCATTTGAGGCCTATACGACCTATTCTTTGCCCATTATCTACATTTCTTACCAAATGAACCATTTCTTTCTAATAACATGGCTACTATATATAACTTTAGGTTCAAAAGCCTTTAAATCACAAAAAAACAAACTCCCTAAGTTTTGGGAACGAATTGGACCCAAATAGAACCAACTGAGGCCTATACGACCTATTCTTTGCCTATTTTCTGCATTTCTTACCGAATGAACCATTTCTATGCCATAACATGTCTATTACAGGTATTTTTATACGTAAATGCCTTGAAATCACAAAAAAAAAAAGCCAACTCCCTAAGTTTTTGGAACGAATTGGACCCAAATGGAACCAATTGAGGCCTATATGACCTATTCTTTGCCTATTTTCTACATTTCTAACTAAATGAACTATTTCTTTCTCATATAATGGCTATTATAGGTTATTTTAGGTGTACAAGCTTTGAAATCACAAAAACCAACTCCCTAAGTTTTGGGAACGAATAGGACCCAAATAGAACCAATTGAGGCCTATATGACCTATTCTTTGCCTATTTTCTATATTTCATACCAAATAAACCATTTATTTGTCATAAAATGTCTATTACAGGTAGTTTTAGATGTAAATTCCTTGAAATCACAAAAAAAAACCAACTCGCTAAGTTTTGGGAACGAATTGGACCCAAATTCAACCTACTAAAGGCCTATATGACCTATTCTTTGCCTATTTCCTATCAAATGAACCATTTCTTTGTCATAACATGTCTATTATAGGTATTTTTTGATATAAATGCCTTGAAATCACAAAAAAAGCCAACTCCCTAAGTTTTGGGAACGAATTGGACCCAAATAGAACCAACTAAGGCCTATACGACCTATTCTTTGCCTATTTTCTACATTCTTACTAAATGAACCATTTATATGTCATAAAATGTCTATTATAGGTAGTTTTAGATGTACATGCCTTGAAATCACAAAAACAACCAACTCCTTAAGCCTTGGGAACGATTTGGACCCAAATTCAACTAATAGACCCCTATATGACCTACTATTTTCCTATTTTCTTCAATTCTAACCAAATGAAGCATTTCTTTCTCATAACATACATATTACAGGTAGTTTTAGGTGGACATGCTTGAAATCACAAAAACAACCAACTCCCCAAGCCTTGGGAACGATTTGGACCCAAATTCAACCAATAGACCGTTATATGACCTACTATTTGCCTATTTTCTTCATTTCTAACCAAATGAAGCATTTCTTTCTCGTAACATGCATTTTATAGGTATTTTTAGGTGGACATGCCTTGAATTCACAAAAACAAAACAACTCCCTAAGTTTTGGGAACCATTTGGAAAGTAATTCATGAGGTGAATCAAATAAGTTCAAATCCTAAGTGTTATTGAAGTTATTACCGCAATATGCTGTGCTCTGGTGTTGGCTGGTGTTGTGCCTTTCCCAGGCACTTCCTTGAAGTGCGTCTTCAGAAAAAGCTCATGTGTTGTTGGGAGCTGGCCTTTATTCTTCGCCGCCTTTGATTATACATGCAAAAAATGATAAACTTTAGATGTTAGAGCACCTTTTGCAAAGTAATACACAATTATCTTCTATTTTACTTGCCTATTCAACAAACTTACCATCCGTTTAGCATGTTGTACAACTCACATCAAACCCTGATAGTGAGTAGCTTCAACCGCATTTTCCATTAAACCGCCCCTCCTGTTCTTCTTGTTCTGGGCCGACCTCTTCTTGTAGGTTAGATCATTGGCAACAATATCCAGCATTTTCTTATGGACGACCTCACTAAGCCAGCCTGGCTTGGAGCCTCTCATCTTGTGCATTACTGTGTAGAACATATCACGTAGCCGAGTAGCAAACTTGTTTTCAAAAGTTTGGTTCACATCCTTGGTCAATTGAGGTGCCCATGTGAATTCTTTTTGCAAATGATAAACTTCAGAAGTCATATACTCAACTTAATCTCATACTTTTCATAATACATATATATGATTAAGTTCAAAATAGCTTACGCTGTATAAGTTCTACTAGTTTTGCTTCGTTTCTTGGTCCACCTCACCGTAGTTCCTCCAAGGTTGTCGATAATACCCGGTTAGCGTTCCGGAGATCGCATTCCTCACCTTGTTGTCGTCAAACCTACATTTAAAGACAAAACCACAAAGTTAGATGATCATCAACAAAAATTATTATAAAACTTGTTGGAAGTAATAAATAGGTTAATTTCTCAAAATTGAGAATATAAAACCAATTCGTTGACTATTCGTACGTACCAGAGCACAATAGGGTCTAATACCGACAACTGTGAATGCTCCTGTGTCTGATCTCGTGATGAGTTGGAAGTGGGCTCCTGAGTAGTACCCAAATCCTGTGCATCCGCGTCCGCCATGTCCTCATCGAAGGAGTCGATCTCCATTGTCCGTTTACCTTTATCTTTACCGCCCGCCATGATCACTTGAAATAGTTGTTAATAACATGACAGCATGTTATAAATTACGAGTGTAGTACAACGTAATAACATTTCAGCGTAAAAGTACTGATTTATTATAAGACCAAGTCAATTGTCTTTTTTACAATAACAAGCAAATTAAATGAAAGATAGTAACATATCCTCCTATTCATTATTGTCATCACTACTATCACTACTGGAATCATCACTACTATCATCTAACAATACATCGATGTCTTCATCCTCATCACTATCACTAGAGTCAATACTAGATTCATCATCTTCATCACTTGAGATAACAAAGCCATTATCATCATCTTCCTCATCATCATCTATGGTATAGTCCGGAATGTCATTCGGTGGGCAAAGCGTTTCATGTACTTGTGGGGATGGTGCCTGCAAAAACTCTAAGTCCATCATAACATCAACCACAGACCTTGCTTGTGTTTTAAACACAGCCCACCATTTTATTCGATCCCGTTTCAGGCTAGGGTATGATGCGTAGTACACTTGAGTCACTTGGTAAGATAAGACAAATGGATCATACTTGGGGTATTTCTTAGTATGATTTACTTCGACAAGCTTGTATTGTTCATGTATGTTCATTCCCCTCCCACAATCCATCCAACTACACTTAAACAAAATAGTCTTGTACTCTTTTTCGGGACCAGTGTAGACCAGTTCAATAATGTCGTCTAAAATGCCGAAGTACTCTCCACCATCCTCACTTGATACACACACGCCATAATTCATTGTAGATTTGTGCTTACCATAGGCATATGTATGGAAATTAAAGACACCGACAAATTTTGCTTCCAAGTTCGAACACGCTTGAAAGGGCGCATTCAGATCGCTCGCAACACATCCGAATTTGGTTCCTTCTCAACAACCTATCAATGTTTTGAATATAACTGTCACACTTCCCTAATTGAGTAAATTAAATAGCAAGGAATATTAAATCATAATTATGTCACTTTTCGACAGTTTATATCACCTTGCGATGAAACCAATCAGAGAATTCAGCTTCGCATTTCTCCATTACTTCTTCTCTACGCAGATAAGGTTGAGTACTAAGAATGTAGTCCTCGAACTTCCTATGAGGCCAAAAATAATGTAAATCAACATTGTAATCATTTTAGTTGTTCATAGCTTTGAACACACTGCATTCCTAAACATATTATACCTTTCGTATTCACCAAGAATGCCAGTGTTCCATAACACGAACAAATGAGCTCCCTCGAGTTCTTTTTCATCTAAAAACCGAGTTTTGCCCTCATTTGACACACGACCGCTATCCTCCTTGAACAACTCTGGAATTTCAACGTTGTCCACTGTGGAGTCCACGTCGGCATTCACATTTTGACCGAGATCTCGTGTTTCAGTGTCAACCGTCGCCTGAAAGTAGTTACTGCAGAAGTTTGTTATCTCTTCGGTGAGATAAGCATTGCAAATGGATCCTTCAACTCGAGCCTTGTTTCAAATTTTTTGTTTCAAATGATTGAGGAACCTGCAATCATAGTTATGTAAATGTATAAACACAGTTACTGCAGAAGTTTTCTATCTCTTCGATGAGATAAGCATTGCAAATGGATCCTTTAACTCGAGCCTTGTTTCCAATTTTTCGTTTCAAATGATTGAGGAACCTGCAATCATAGTTATGTAAATGTATAAACACGACATGACATTGAATCTGATGTAAGAAATAGGATGTGCATGGGTCTTTGATTTACCTTTCGAACGGATACATCCATCTATATTGAACAGGACCACATAACTTCACCTCATTTGGAAAATGAATAGGTAAATGCTCCATGGAGTTAAAAAATGCAGGGGGGAAGACCTTTTCAAGCTTGCATAGGATCTCAGCTATGTTTTTCTCCAATCGCTCCATGTCGCTAACTGATGTTATATAGCAACACAAATCGCGAAAGAATTGGCTGATCTCTGTTATTGCATTCCAAATATGGCAAGGGAGCAATTCCCTCAGAGAGCAGTAGGCAACAACCTCTCCATGAACACGTGACAGTCATGGCTTTTCATTCCGTGTAGCTTACATGCTTGCATATCTACGCATCTGCTCAAATTGGAGGCGTAGCCATTGGGAAATTGCAGCTGTTTAACCCACTCACACAAAACTTTTCTCTGAGCCTTGTCAAGAGCGAATGGAGCCCTTGGCATGAACTCTTTTCCTCTATCTTCCTCCTGAAGATGAAGCTGTGGCCGTTTACAATATTTGGCAATGTCATTTCGAGCGGATGGCATGTACGTATACTTTTTCACATCCATTACAGTGTGAATTAACTGATCAAAGAAGTTCTTTTCAATATGCATGACATCTAAGTTGTGACGAATAAGAAGATGCTTCCAATATGGAAGCTCCCACAGTATGCTTTGCTTGTACCACCCCTTCTTTTCTTTTTTGAGGCGTTGAAGTGACTCGGGCCCATCTATAGCCTTCGGAAGGTCTTTCACACATTCCCACAGCTCCTCTCCTGACATAATGTGTGGAGGTGTACCCTTTCGACTTTGATTCTACAGAATGCAGTTCTACTATTCCGAAAATGGTGATTTGTCGAAAGGAACTGGCGGTGGCAATTAAACCAAAAGACCTTACAACCATGTTCAAGCCAAAATTCTTTGCTTTTCTCCATGCAATATGGACAAGCTTTCTTACCAGATGTGGCCTAACCGGACAACATACCATAAGCCGGGAAGTCACTAATGGTCCATAGGATGGCTGCTTGCTGATTGAAATTATGTTTCATGGAAAATTCATACGTATGCGCGCCAACTTCCCATAACTATTTCAACTCCTCTATCAACGGTTGCATCTACACATCCAAGTTGCCCTTAAGGTTTTTAGAACCAGGAACGAGCAACGAAAGGAACATAAATTGTCTTTTCATACACATTGAGGGAGGCAGGTTGTAAGGGATCAAAATGATAGGCTAACAAGAATATTTTCCACCAAACTTGCCATGAGGAGCAAAACCATCTGTACACAAGCCAAGCCGAACATTACGAGGCTAGGAGGCAAACTCTGGAAAGCAATTATCGAGGTGTTTCCAACCTTGATTATCACTAGGGTGTGCCATTGTGCCTTGAACTCGAGGATTTTTCGAATTCCATGTTATTTCCTCCCAAATGTTCTTAGTAGTAAAGAGCCTTTGCAACCTAGGTGTGATCGGGAAATAAAATAAAACGTTCAAAGGCACTAGGCTACCCTTGGAAGTCTCCTTGTACCGATCGCTGCCACACGCCCTACATGTATACAGCTGAGCGTCATCCTTCCAAAACAGCATACATCCTTTTGGGCAAGCGTGAATCCTTTCATAAGGTAGTTCCAAGCCCTTCACAATCTTCTTCACCTCATAGAATGTGTCGGCCATATGGTTGTTGTTAGGAATTGCTTCACTAAACAAAGAAACAAACCCATCAACACATCTGTGCGGCAGATTATACTCGCACTTTAGACTAGTGATTCTAGCGGCCATCTCTAACGCAGACAACGAACTCCCTTCGTATAATGGCCTTTCAGAAGCCTTCAACAACTCTAGAAAATGCTTAGCTTGTGCATTAGGCTCCTCCTCTGATGAAACACTAGCCTGCTCGGTGTGCCCTTAATCCTGACTATGATCAAAAGCATCGAAAACCATTTCACGATATTCATTGATCCCCCGTTCAGGATCTATCGGAAACCCTTCCCCGTGACACATCCAGTCATAGTAATTAGGTATAAAACCCGTGCGAAACAGATGAAGTTTAACCGTTTCTGGATCCCAAAGCCGTTTGTTCTTACATTTAGCACATGGACACCTAACTTCATTTGAGTTACTACTCTCGGGATTATCTTTGACGTATTGAATGAATTCATCAACCCCTTTCACGAACTCTAGATTAATACTTTGCTAAACCTTCCGTTCATACATCCAGCTACGTTCTGTTCGTTTCATGATTACAACTTCTACACAACTCACGCATATGTATAATCACATTAGTCACAAAGCGTATTTCCTAGTCATTATCCATCAAAGTGTTATGGAAATGCAAATGAGATTTGAAATGCTTCCAAAGGGTCCTTAGCACTCCAACCTAACCCATCCTTGTACGTTTAATCCCACTAGCGAATGTAAGCTAGGTTTTCAATTCTACGGAAAATCCGCCAGCATTTCCCTACAGTTCTCCAAGTACACGATGTAGGCGATTAAACACGCCTACATATGTACCCAGAGAACATTGTAGAGAAATGAGAAGGCACGATTTTTCCTACAATCAATAACAAGGCATACATTCACCACCTAAGTGAGAATAAGCGTACAAGGACAATCCCAACCGGAGATTATTCAAGACATACTCCTAATGTGTATGCCTTGAACAGGTATCTAGGCAAATGATTATGCCAATGATTCATTCACAAAATATATAAAGTAAAGGACACATCCATTATACTAAACAAATATATATCATAATTAATTAAACTAAACAAATAAATGAGCAAAATTATTCAATTATTATATTAAACATTATATCTTACAAAAATATTAAACTAAATGAACTAACATACACTATATTAAACTAAACTAAACTAAACTAACATACATTATTATATTAAACTAAACCAAACTAAACTAACATATTATAATACAACAATTAACAACTAAACTTAAGTAAACTAAACTAACAAATCATAATACAACACATATGTTTCAAATATTTCAACATAGTAAAATGTAAATACAACAAATCGTATACACTACACTAAAAACATTAATGAACTAACATATAACTAAACACAATTAGTCACTAAACTAAGAATATAAACTAAACTAAGAATTTTAGGGTTTATATAGTCTCTAACCTGTAGATCTGCACTTTTTTTAACAATCAAACCAAGTAACTCTACAAATTCTACAAATAATTAAAATTAAAACTTAATTTGGGTTTATGTTGTTAGTTTTTATTGAAAAAAAGGGCGCGAGACTTACAAATGCAGAACGGCGGCGTAGTTGTGGTGGAGAACTGGAGGTGGCTGTTGCAAAAAAGGGGTGATAGTTAGCTTAGGGTTTCCCAAAAAATGTAATTAAAAAAAAATTAAAATTAAACTACACTTACAAATGCAGAACGGCGGCGTAGTTGCGGTGGTCGCCGGCGACTTCGTCTTCCTCCTTCTCTTTCTCCCTTTCTCTCTCTTCCTCTTCTTCTTTCTTTTTTTCCTTCTGTTTCTCGCTTCCTCTTTCCCCCTTTCGCTCTCTCTCTCTTCCGTTTCCTCTTTCTCTTTCTCCCTTTCTCTCTTCTCTTCTTTCTTCTCTCTTCTCTCTTCCTCTTTCTCTTTCTCCCTTTCTCTCTCTTCCTTGTTCTTCTGGTTTCTGGATTTGTTTTTTAGAAAAATTCATAACGTTTGTTCTGTTTTTTTTTTCCGACATAATATTTTCGAGGGAATTTTCCGTCGCAACATAAGTTTTACGACGGAATTTTGCAACAGACCAAAATTCCGTTGGAAAATTCGAAATTTTCGACGGAAATATTCCGTCGGAATCCAGCCTATTTCTACTAGCGAATCTTAAGAAAAGACAACCTCAGAGGTTTCTTTGTCCATAATTCATATGGAGTCTTTTCGACAGCTTTTGACGGAGCGTGGTTCAGTGTTAGTGCCGCAGTTAGAAGTGCGTGTCCCCAGAAAAAGATAGAAAGTTCACTAAGACCCATCATTGATCGAACCATATCTAACAAGGTTTGATTCCTCCGTTTGGACACTCTGTTCCATTGCGGGATTCCGAGAGGTGTCAACTCTAAAAGAATACAATTTTCTTTCAAGTGATTGTGGAATTCATGGCTCAAATACTCGCCACCTCGATCCAATTGAAGTGCTTTTATTTTCTTGCCAAGTTGATTTTCAACTTTACTCTGAAACTCTTTGAATTTCTCAAAAGATTTAGATTTGTTCGACATAAGGTAGACATAACCATATCTACTATAGTCGTCGGTGAAGGTAACGAAATATCAATAACCTTGCCTTAAGGGTGTACTCATTGGTCCACATACATCCGTATGTATTAGACCAAATAAGTCACTTGCCCTTTCTCCTAACTTTGAGAATGGCTGCTTTATCATCTTGCCTAATAGACATCCTTCGCAATTTTCAAACGAATCCGAGTCGAATGAGTCAAGAACACCTTGTTGAAGAAGTTTTTTCATGCGACTTTGATGTTAATGTGGCCAAGACGACAATGCCAAAAGTAGGTTTGATTCGACTCGATGGTCTTAGCCCTTTTGGCGGTATCATCAATGTTATAAACTTTTTTGACTAGAGAAAGCACATAAAGACCATTTTCTGAATATGCTATACCATATAAAACATTATCGATATAAAATGAACAACCATTGTTCTTAATTCAAAATTCAAAACCATTGGCGTCCAACGCCGAAATTGAAATAATGTTTTTGGTAACTCTAGGAACATGATAGCAATTGTCAAGTTTTAAAATAAGCCTAGAGGGAAAAGACAAACTGAGAGTTCTAACTGATATGGCAGACATCCTTGCTCCATTGCCGACCCGAAGCTCGACCTCTCCCTTCTCTAGCCTCCTATTTATCCTTAGTCCCTAAGCATTGGAACAAAGGTGTGAGCCACATCCGGTATCTAATACCCATGATATTTTGCTAGCGAAGTTTAAGTCTATAAAAAATACCTGATGAAGAAGCAATGGTGTCGTTCTTCTTATCTTCCTTGAATTTAAGGCAATCCCGCTTCCAATGGCCCTTCTTCTTGCTATAGAAACATTCGGAATCGAATTTAGAAGAGGCGACCTTCTTGTCCTTGCCACTCTTAGCAGCACTTGACTTAGGCGGAAAATTCTTCTTCTTTTTCCCTGTAAAGCTTCTCTTCTTTCC